CATCGCCCTATGTCCCTATAGCTATGTAGCCCCATAGCCCAAGAGCCCTATAGCCCTTCTGCCCTTCTGCCCAACAGCCCTACAGCCCTATGCCCTATAGCCCTATAGACGTATAACCCTATGGCCATATATTCCTATAGTTTCATAGCCGTATAGCCCCATCGCCCTATAACCCAATAGCCGCATAGCCCTATAGCCCTAAACAGACTTTGGTTGGGGCTTCTCTCGGGTATCATTCTGAGTATGTTTTGCGTGTTGTTTTTCTTTCTCGCCCAAAATCAGCCTGTAGGAGGACGTGCCCGACCTTAAAAAAAGTACCACGCCGTGGAGAATCACAACCGGAGCCCTGGGTCCCATCGCCGGATCGATCTGTGATGGTCCCGGGGCTGGGAACCGAGCGAGATTGCCCCAGTGTGGAAGCAAAAGCAAGCGGAATTCCCTCCGGACCCTGTCTCCTCGCGGCATTTTTCGAGCCAGACCGATCTGTGATGATCTGGTCCCGGGGCCCAGGCGGGCGGAACTGCCCGGTGTGAACATGCGACGCCTGGATCTCAGGGTTAGCTGCTGGCAAGGTTTATGTCCTTATCATTGCGTCTGGGACTTTCTGGGGAGGGGCGACAAAAGGCCGCGGCACGGTGGGTACGGATAAACACTCAGCCTTTGGGGGCAAGACTTTCATCGATATCCACTGCGCCTCGGGCGTCTGGGGAAGGGAGCCCGAAACGCCAGGATGCAGTGGACAGTCAGCACGGACAGTCAGGAGGAGCGACTCCACAAGGCGTTGCCCTTGCACCTTCCCCTTTGGCCCATCCTGGGCCACTCTGGCAGGCCGCGCCCGGCTCGAACAGAGTCGGCATGGCCCTCCAAGGCCCTTGCATCCTTACTGCGCATCCTTACCATACGCGCTCACTGCATCCTCCTGCTGCTGCTGCTGCTGCTGCTGCTGATGGCGGTCGTGGCTCTCCCTGCAGCCACCTCCTCCTCCTCCTCCTCCTCCTCCTCCACCTCCTCCTTCTCCGCCTCCGCCTCCTCCGCCTCCTCCTCCTCCTCCTCGTCCTCCGCCTCCTCCTCCTCCTCCTCCGCCTCCTCCGCCTCCTCCTCCTCCTCCTCCTCCTCCAGCATCCGCGGCCTCTTCCTGCCCCGCTCGGCTGCCCGCCTCCGGCGCTGCGACCTCGGAGCACAGCGCTCCCTCGCGCGGCCTGCTGGGGCCGGCGGCTGGCAGGCGAGTTCCGCTGCGGCGCCTGGACGAGCCGCGGGACCGTCGGCGGCCTGCGCCAGCTGAGCCAGGAGGACCAGGACGCGGCTCTCGGGGGGGCCCTCTTGTGACTACAGTCAAAAGCCTTGATAAGGACGCGCGACTTTGCGGAGGGTACCCTTGCGTCCTTGCTCTTCCTTGCCCTTGCGTCCTTGGGGTCTTCGTCGTCCGCCGCCCCAAATATCCCAATTTCGGCTTCCAAGGGTCCTGCGTCCTTACCGCGCGTCCTTATTAGGGTTCTTGACTGTAGGCCTCCCTGCTGTGGTCCGGGGTCGATGGGGCCGGTGCGCCGCCGACGTCCCCGACGCGTCGTCGATGCAGCGGTGGTGCGTCGAAGATGCAGCGCGATCCTGCGACCCCATCTGCTACGACCCCATGTCGGAGGCCTCTATATCTGGAGGAGGAGGAGGAGGAGGAGGAGGAGGAGGAGGAGGAGGAGGAGGAGGAGGAGGAGGAGGAGGAGGAGGAGGAGGAGGAGGAGGAGGAGGAGGAGGCAGAGGAGGAGGAGGAGGAGGAGGAGGAGGAGGAGGCGGCGGAGGCGGAGGAGGAGGAGGAGGAGGAATTGGAGGAGGAGGAGGAGGAGGAGGGTCTGGTGTCGAAGGAGAAGCAGCGGCAGAAACATACACTATGTGGGAGCCCGCGCAGATCTTGGACCTGCGCGGAGCACGCCTCCCCTGGCGCGCGGAGCGTGCCAGTGGCGTCACCGGAGGCGCCGCCAGGGGGTCCAGCGCCGATCCCATAAAAATCCGCGCGGAGCTCCGACAGTTTAACCCGAAGACGGATTTAAGAACCCCCCCCTCCCCTTCTTGGCCCCATAGGGCGGTGCGGCCACTGTTTTTTTTTGCTGCACGGTGCTAAAGAGATCGTTCGTCTAAAATCGCCCCTCGGAATATTGAATCAAATTGCGGTGCTAAGATATCCCCGGGGGGGTTCTTCAAGGCTTCCTCAGATTATGTTGATGCTGTTTGCTCCTGTCTCATGGCGCCCATCCCCTATCAGACGAAAAGGTATGCGACCCCCCTGAAACGGGGTGCCCAGAAACGTGTCCGCACTTGTAGCCGAAAACAGAGGGGCGACCAAACTTTCGGCCGACATTGAACATCGCTCTGTCTTTGAACCAAGGCTTTCAGTCACACTCTGGCGCGTTCCGAAAATTTCGGGCGCCAGTTTCGGTCACACTCGGGCAGATTTCCGGGCACAGTTTCGGTCACGACACTCGCCTCATAGAGACGAGGCTGCGTGACGGGTCGGATGGTGCCGAAGGTCTCATTGGCCCACAGTGCATCTCCAGGGAGGCCCCCGCAGCCCTTACGAGGCGCAGGGGGCCCCCAGGGGCTTCAGTATAGGGGGAAAAGCCGGGGATGCCTTGGGTCAGGGACGCCTATAGCAAACCCGGAGAGGGAGAGGAGGGTGTGGAGGTAGAGAATACGGAGGAGGGCAGCATCCAGCGCGGCTACTCACGCCGACAGCGTCAGCGTGAGGAGGAGGAGGAGGAGGAGGAGGAGGAGGAGGAGGAGGAGGAGGAGGAGTAGGAGGAGGAGGAGGAGGTGGAGGTGTTGGCGGTGCTGGAGGTGGACGTGGGGCAGGAGGGTGAGGTGGTGTCGGCCTCGCTGGCGCCTGCTGATGCCTCGCGCCCGGTGCGCCCGCTGCCTTCCTGCGGAGGGCGGCTCTGCATGGTTGGGCGGTCCACGGCATGCCCCAACGTGTTGTCAATGCGATCGGTGGAGCACTAGCCAGGCGCAGGAAAGTCAGCACAAAGATTGCAATCAATATTTGATCATCCATTCTGCTGGTTCTCGTCGTTGCCTGGATTAGCGCAACCCCAAGGGGGGAAGGAGGGAGGAAGGAAGGGAGGGAGGAAGGGAGGATGGAGGGGAGGGTTCAGGGAAGGAGGAGGAGGAGGCAGGAGGGAGGAGGGAGGGAGGGGAGGGAGGAGGGAAGGGAGGAGGGAGGGAGTGGGCAGGAGGGGGGAGGAGGAGAAGGACGATGATGATGAGGAGGAGGAGGAGGAGGTGGAGGAGGAGGGAAGGGGAGGAGGGAGGCAGGAGGGAGGAGTGAGGAGGAGGAGGAGGAGGAGGAGGAGGAGGAGGGGAGGAGGAGGAGGAGGAGGAGGAGGAGGAGGAGGAGGAGGAGGAGGAGGATGAGGAGGCGGAGGAGGAGGAGGAGGAGGAGGAGGAGGAGGAGGAGGAGGAGGGGAGGAGGAGGAGGAGGAGGAGGAGGAGGAGGAGGAGGAGGAGGAGGAGGAGGAGGAGGAGGAGGAGGAGGAGGAGGAGGAGGAGGAGGAGGAGGAGGAGGAGGAGGAGGAGGAGGAGGGAGGAGGAGGAGGAGGAGGAGGAGGAGGAGGAGGAGGAGGGAGGAGGAGGAGGAGGAGGAGGAGGAGGAGAGGAGGAGGAGGAGGAGGAGGAGGAGGAAGGAGGAGGAGGAGAGGAGGAGGAGGAGGAGGAGGAGGAGGAGGAGGAGGAGGAGGAGAGGAGGAGGAGGAGGAGGAGGAGGAGGAGGAGGAGGGGAGGAGGAGGAGGAGGAGGAGGAGGAGGAGGAGGAGGAGGAGGAGGAGGAGGAGGAGGAGGAGGAGGAGGAGGAGGAGGAGGGGAGGAGGAGGAGGAGGAGGAGGATGAGGAGGAGGAGGAGGAGGAGGAGGAGGAGGAGGAGGAGGAGGAGGAGTAGGAGGAGGAGGAGGAGGAGGAGAAGGAGGAGGAGGAGGAGGAGGAGGAGGAAGGAGGAGGGAGGGATGGGAGGGGGAGGGAGGGAGGGGAGGAGGGAGGGGGAGGGAGGGAGGGAGGGAGGAGCAGCAGCAAATGGAGGAAGAGGACGAGCAGGAAGAGGTGAAGGTGCAGGGGGAGGAGGAGACGGGGGAGGGAGAGAAGTCCTTCCACCCTCCTATTGTCAGGGGGGCGAGACGATGGATCGAGGCAGGCTGCTCAGAGGAGGAAAAGGTACCCATACCTCCACCCTTTCCTCGCTTTCCCCTTTTCGGGCCCCCCTGGAGGCCCTCGTCGCCACCGCTGGATTCGCCTCGAGGTTCTTGTCAGAACGCACCCCTGGAGAGGTCTGGGAAGTAGCGGTACTGGTTTTGGTTCCCCCAGTAGATGACGACGGGCTTCTTTTTATTTCCATCCTGCGTTAGTCCTCCCGCCTGAATCCGTCTTGGATGCAGACATCGGGCACTTCAGCTTTATAACGCTGAGTCGCGCACGCCGGTTTTGCCAATGGGGTGTGCTCGCAGTGCTTCACCGACTGCTGGCAATTTCGCCACGCAGCTTGCGGTCCGCAGGTATCCAGGCTGGTTCTTGGAATGGCAGGGAAATTAACCCCATGGGTGCTGCGAGGGTGCTCTGCTGGAACGGCGTTGCACGGTAGGTTCTGGCAGGGCCGTGGGTTTCCGCCCATGCACGCAGGCCTTTTGCCCTTCCCCATCAGGGGCAACGATGGGGGGGATAGGCATAGGGGGGCGATGCATCGACCCCCACTCGCCCACTGATCGCCGATAGGGGCCGGATAGTCCCAATCTGCCCAGGAAGGTGCGGATTCACAATCGAAGGCCCATCTGGCCCACCCGCCCGACCATGCGCGGCAGCATCCGAGCCGCTGAGTGCCAATAGTGCGCCGGCGGCCATAACTCAGGAGGGGAAAAAGCACACAGACACAATTAATCGTCGATCCCCAGGAAAATATGCGAAAATATGGGACATGGGGGGAAAACAAAAACCTAGAACATATGGGAAAAGATTGGGAATCTTTTTATTTGTGTGTATTTATTTGTGTGTTCTGGGGCCCCTTTAATAATTTTTGGGGGCCCCCTCGTCCCTTTCGCCGAGGCCCTCGTGGCTGGCCGACTGGGCGACGTGTGGCAAGGGAGGGGTAACGGAGAGCAAGGATTACCGTGGAGGCCAGTGCCAGGAAACACTCTGCTTTCCTGCAGGGCTTAGTGGGCCCTGGAAACGACAGGGCCGTTTTGTTACTGGTTCCGTTTTGCCATTTTTTTGCCGGTTCCAACGCCGTTTTTTTACCGGGTCCGTCGCCGTTTTTTGACCGGTTCCGGCTCCGGTTCCAATCCTGGAGCCGTTTTTGTTGCCGTTTCCGGTCGCCGTTTTTTTGCCGTTTCCATTTTCAAGGGACATTTTTTGGGGGAAACGGTGAAAAACGGCCCTGCCGTTTCCAGGGCCCACAAAGCTGCAGGGTACTCTGAGTTGCTTGGGTTTCGACGGTTTTGCAATGGAAGGCGTGACGCTTCCACGCCAGAGATCCATGGGCGTCCTGGGGTCTCAGGGTTGGGCTTCTCGTGGATTGGCCTCCACTGTAGCTGTTTGGCCCCGGTTCAACAGACAGACATGGTCGTGCTGAACCCGACCAGGGCCTGGGCACGTTTCACTCATCCACGAAGGCGGCCTCGTGGGTCCGTTTTGCTGATCCATGGACTCGCGGCCGTGTCCGCGTGAACAGCGGCCGGGGGCGGGGGGCAGGTGGCGATAGCCCAGTTCCGCGAGCCTCGCCCGCGAGATCCGCCACCGCAGGCTGACGTCACTGTAGCGGGTGCATGGCCGTGGTCGCAGCATGGATTGGACATGCCCACGTAACACCCGAAACGCTGGGTGCCGATCGCAGCCAATTGCAGTGCAAACGCAGCGCGCCCAGAATCTGAAGACATCGTTGTGGCGTCCTGCCATGGGGTTGATGTATCGACCGAGTGATATTCGTCATTGTTGCCCCCAGCGCCCGCGCCACTGATCCACGGATTCATGATCAGCACTTGCCTGGTATTGGGCTCCCTCTCGGAGGGGGAGGGAGAGCTGGAGCAAGGAGAAGGAGGACGCCTGCTGAGAATGAAGCTTGTAGGACACCTGCGAGGAGCGGGATGCTGGGAAGGAGAGGAGGTGGAGGAGGAGCAGGAGGAGGAGGAGTGCAAGGTAAATGCCCAGTGGGGCGAGGACGAGGAGGAGAAATAAAAGCATCGTAGTGATGATGTTGATGACAACGAGGATGTTGATGCTGATAATGATGATGCTGATGGTTTTGCTGATGCTGATGTCGATGACGATGATGATGCTGCTGCTGATGATGCTGATTATGATGATGATGATGATGATGATGATGATGATGATGATGATGATGATGATGATGATGATGATGATGATGATGATGTTGCGGAGGAGGAGGATGAGGATGAAGATGAGGATGATGATGTTGCTGATGATGATGACAAGGGGGATGTTGCTGATGATGACGATGATGATGATGATGATCGAGATATTGATGTTGATGGTGACCATGATGGTCAGCATGAGGATGAGGATGAGGATGATCATGAGGATGATGATGGTGCTGATGTTGATGATGATGACGGTGATGCTGGTGGAGATGATGATGGTGATGGTGGTGATGTTGATGGAGACGATGACGGTGATGTTGGTGATGCTGATGATGACGATGACGATGATGACGATGGTGGTGATGATGTTGCTGATATTGATGTCAATGAGAATTCTGATGATGGCGATGATGACGATGACGATGCTGCCTATTTTTACCATGCTGATGGTGGTGATGACAACAACGACGAGGCCGACGACGACGGCGACGACAACGACGACAACGACGACGACGATTACGAGGAGGAGGAGAAGGAACACCACGGTAACTATGATAATGATGTCGATGATGTTGTTGTTGATGATGATGATGCTGTTTGCGATGATGATGCTGATGTTGACGACGACGATGATGCTGCTGATTATGTTGATGATGTTACTGATGACGGTGATGATGATGATGATGATGATGATGATGATGATGATGATGATGATGATGATGATGATGATGACGATGACGATGACGATGACGATGACGATGCGGCTGATGATGATGACGATGCTGATGATGATGATGATGCTGATGCTGATGATGATGATGATGATGATGATGATGATGATGATGATGATGATGATGATGATGATGATGATGCCGATGATGATGGAAACAGCGTGTTCTATCGCTGCTGGCGGAATACCAGGGAGGGGGGGTCACTGGGGGTTTCCAACCCGTCCCCCCCCCTCGAAAACCGGAGGGTCATTCCCCCCCCCCCAGTCCATCATGCAAAGGGGGGGGGTCACTTCCGGTTCGAACCCCCCCCTCCTCGAAATAAATTTGGGGAGGGTCACTACCGGTTCGAACCCTCCAGTCTATCATGAACAGGGGGGGGGGTCACTACCGGTTCGACCCCCCCCCCTCGAAAACTTTGGGGGGGTTCACTACCGGTTCGAACCCCCCCCCTCGCCGTCGGCAAACGATTCCCGCTCCTCGGGACAGTTGGACAGTGGCGGGGATACTGGGACAATGGTTGGGAAGGTGGTGGTGGGGACAGTGGCGTGGGGACAGTGGGACAGTGGTGCGGACAGAGGTGGGGACGGTGGTGGTGGGGACAGTGGTGAGGGGACAGTCGGACAGTGGTGGGGACAGTGGGACAGTGGTGGGGACAGTAGTGGTGGGGACAGTGGTGAAGGCGGTGGTGAGGACGCTGTTGGGACAGTAGTACAGTGGGGAGAGTGGTGGGACAGTAGTACAGTGGGGACAGTGGTGGGAACAGTGGGGACAGTGGGACAGCACAGTGGGACAGCGGCGGGGACAGTGGGGACAATGGGACACCTGGGAACAGTGGGGACAGCATGGGAGGTGGGGACCGTGGGGAAAGTGGGGAGAGTGGGACCGTGGTGGGACAATGATGGGGAGAGTGGGGACAGTGAGACTCTGATGGGGGCACTGGTGGGAACAGCGGGAACCATGTTGGGAACAGTGGGGACACTGGGACAGCGGTGGGGACTGGGACAGTGGTGGGGCCGGTGGTGGTGGGCACAGTTGTGTGGGGACAGTGGGAATGTGGTGGGGACAGTGGGACAGTGGGACAGTGGTGGTGACAGTGATGGTGGGGACAGTGGTGAGGGCAGTGGCGAGGACGGTGGTGGGACAATGGGACAGAGGGACAGTGTGGGCAGTGGTCGGGACAGTGGGGTCAGTGGTGGAAACAGTGGGACAGCTCTGTGGGACAGCGGCGGGGACAGAGGGACAGTGGGGACAGCGGGGACAGTGGGACGGTGGTGGGGACCGCGGGGAAAGTGGGGAGAGTGGGACTGTGGTGGGAACAGTGGTGGGGACAGTGGGGACAGTGCGACAGTGGCGGGGGCACTGGTGGGGACAGTGGGGACGGTGGTGGGAACAGTGGAGACAGTGGTGGTGAGGACAGTGGTGCTGGGACAGCAGTGGGGGATGCGGTGCGGACAGTGGTGGGGACCCGGGAGTCGTTTGCCGGCGGTGACTGGGGGGGGGGTTCGAACCGGCAGTGACTCCCCTCCGGTTGTCTGGATGGAGGTGGGGGGGGTTCGAACCGGTAGTGACCCCCCCCGGTTTTCTAGAGGGGGTCGGGGTGGGGTTCGAACCGGGTAGTGACCCCCCTCGCTTTTCCGGAGTGTGGGGGGGGAGCGGTTAGGTGGGGGAGGGTTTGCCGGGGGAAGAGGGTGGGGGGGGTCCAGCAGGGGGGGGATTTTCGAAGGGGGGGGAACCCCAGGTTCTGGAGGAAGGGGGGGGGGATTTTGCACAGTAATTGGCGTTGGGCCGCGCTCTCTTTGATGATGATGATGATGATGATGATGATGATGATGATGATGATGATGATGATGATGATGATGATGATGATGATGATGATGATGATGATGATGATGATGATGATGATGATGATGATGATGATGATGATGATGATGATGATGATGATGATGATGATGATGTTGATGGCAATAACGATGATGGCGATGACGATGAATGTGATGTCGATGAAGCTGCTGATGATGATGCTGCTGATACTGCTGATGATGATTGTAACGATGAGGATGGTGATGCTGACGATGACGATGATGATGATGTTGATGCTGATGCTGATGATGAGGGTGGTGCTGATGATGCTGATGGTGATGTTGATGATGCATATGATGCTGTTGATGATGATGACGATGGTGATGGTGATGCTGCTGCTGATGCTGATGCTGCTGCTGATGGTGATGATGAGGATCAGGATGCTGACGATGACGATGATTATGATGCTGATGCTGCTGCTGCTGATGATGATGATGATGATGATGATGATGATGATGATGATGATGATGATGATGATGATGAGGGCGGTGGTGATGATGCTGATTATGACGACGATGATGCTGATGATGATGATGATGATGCTAATGATGCTGCTGCTGCTGCTGCTGATGATGATGATGATGATGATGATGATGATGATGATGATGACGACTACGACGGTGACGAGGGCGAGGACGAGGCTAAGAGGGGCCAACAGTGAAGGAGACGGAGGTAGGTTAGGATGAAGTTGGTGACTGCGATGAGGAGTACGTGAACGGATCATGATAGGAGCAGGAGGTGTTGGGGATATCGAGAAGAGGAGGATGAGGAGGCGGAGGAGGAGGAGGAGGAGAAGGAGGAGGAGGAGGATGCGGGAGTGGAGTAGGAGGAGCTAGAGAAGGAAGGTGCGGTGAATACTTGGGAACAGGACTAGGATGGGGCAAAGTGGAAAGACAACGGTGAGAGGTGCACTCTGTCCATCCTACTTGCAGTTCGCCTCTTCCTTCTCCTTCCACTCTCCCTGCTCTTCCCGCCGAGCCCGCGGTTGCCAGAACCCCCTACCCTGCTCGCCCAGAGGACTTCTACAGGATTGCCACGGAGCAGTGGCAGACAAACTACGGCAGGTTGGTGAGGCGACCCGCCCTCCCGCTCTCTTTGTCCACCACCTCGTCGTCCTCCTCGTCCTCCTTTCTTCCTCATCTTCCTCTTCCTCCTCCCCCTCCTCCTTTTCCTGGTACTCCTCCTTGTCCTCCTCCTCCTCCTCCCCCTCTTCCTCCTTTCTTCTTGGCTGGAACGCCCAACGAAGTCTCTCTGCTGCATCCTCCGCCCAACGCTGCCTGGCTCTACGGGTGGTTGAGACCGGCAGTTCGGCGCCGAGTGTCGTGAGGCATCGAACCCCTCATGGTGCGTGCAATCCTCCCCGGCGCCCGTTTCTTTCCCTTCCCCAGCTCCTCCTCCTCCTCCTCCTCCTCCTCCTCCTCCTCCTCCTCCTCCTCCTTACCCCCTCCTCCCACCCCTCCGCAGTCCTCATCTCTCGCCCCCATGTCCCTCCTCTTCCTCGAGCATCGGCGACGGAGGTGTTTGAGCGGTCTTGCTCAGGCCTGCAGGGACCTCAGGAGGCCCCAGACACTTCGTCCTCTTCCATGTCCTTCCTCTTTCCATGTCCTTCCCCCATCCTCCTCCTCCTCCTCCTCCTCCTCCTCCTCCTCCTCCTCCTCCTCCTCCTCCTCCTCCTCCTCCCGCCCACCATGCTGCCTTGGCGGGCCCGGTCCTGAAAGCTAGAGAGAGAGAGAGAGAGAGAGCGCAAAGCCGTTGAACATGTGATTCAGAGGATGTCGTGCTCCCGTTCTCCGCTTCGTCCTGAACGGTAGCCTCTAGCAAGGGGGGGGGAAGAGCGTGGGGGGCACGTCAGCGGAGAAAGGCACGGGAGGATGGGCAGCAGGGGTTCAGCGAGCGGGAGGAGGGAGAAGAGAGGGAGAAGGGGGAAGACGGAAAGAGAGCGAGAGCGAGAGAGAGAGCGTTTTGTTCGAGGGGCCGTTCCAGCTCAGAATGGTTTTGCGTTAAGCCGCAGCGGCTCATTCTTCCGTAGATGGTCAGCATACAGCGGGGGTCTCGAGAAGGGGCTGCTTCATTCGAGGCGGGAATAAGCAGTGGAGGCAGCAGTGGAGGGCAAATCAGTATGGTCAGGCAAAGCAGTGGAGGGCAAATCAGTATGGTCAGGCAAAGCAGTGGAGGTCAGCAGTTCCATTGCTCCACGAAGGGGTTCAATCACGCGCGGATCCCATCCCAAACCACTACGTTGACACGATCAGCGCATGCAGGAAATGCGGGGAATGGCAACGGGCGCTATCGATCTTCAGTGAGATGTGCGAGTCGAAGGTGGAGCTCAACGTCATCTCTTCTACACTGCGTGAACCCGCGCCCGCCAGAAGGTGCGGGTGATTCAGTTTATTTACCCCAGCCATCCTGTGGTGTCGGGTCCTCGTTTTGAAGAGACAGCGCCGCGCGTCCCGCCTCCTCTCCTGTCCTGTCCTCTCCTCTCCTCTTCCCCCTCCTCCTCCTCCTCCTCCTCCTCCTCCTCGTCCTCCTCCTCCTCCTCCTCCTCCCTCCTCCTCCTTCCTTCTTCTATCCGTGCCTCTGCCCTCCGCGCCAGTCAACCTGGACTGCACACTCCTCACACGTTTCGTGGCCCCATATGGCGCCCCACCGAAGGCCCACACGCCGGCGCTCGCATGCGCCCGCCGCGCCCGTTGTGGCACACCCCTCGCACGTTTCGCGGCACCAGAGGGAGCTCCACAGAAGGCCCAGTTGCCAGCGATCGCGAGCGCCCGCCGTACCCGTTTTGGCACACACACCTCGCACGTCTTGCTCGCGACACCATCGGGAATCCCCCCGAAGGCCCACATGCCAGCGCTCGCAGTTCGCATGCACCCGCCGCACCCATGTCAGCACTCCCGTCACACGCTTCGTGGCCTCATAGGGAGCCCCACCTCATGCGCCTAGCGCACCCACTTTGGCACACTCCCCACACGTTTCGTGGCCCCTTGGGGGGCCCCACCGAAGGCCCAAATGCTGGCGTTCGCACGCGGCCACCGCACCAATTTTGGCACACCCTTCGCATGTTTCGTGGCCCCATAGGGTGCCCCACAGAAGGCCCGAATGCCAGCGCTCGCATGTGCCCACCGCACCCGTTTTGGCACATCCCCTCGCACACTTCGCGGCACAATCGGGAGCCCCCCCAAAGGCCCAAACGCCAGCGCTCGCATGCGGCCGCCGCACCCATTTTGGCACACCCTTCGCACGTTTCGTCAGCGCTCGCATGCGGCCACCGCACCCATGTTGGTACACCTGGTACACCTCCCGCACGCTTCGTGGCCCCATAGGGAGCTCCACCGAAGGGCCACATGCCAGCGTTCGCAGTCGCCCACCGCACCGGTTGTGGCACACCCTTTACATGTTTCGCGGCACAATATGGAGGTTCCCCCAAAAGCCCACGCGCCAGCGCTCGCATGTGCCCACCACATCCATTTTGGCACACCCCCTCACACGTTTCGTGGCCCCATAAGGAGATTCACCGAAAACCCAAATGCCAGCGGTCGCATGCGCCCACCGCACCCATTTTGGTACATCTCCCACGCGTCTCGTGGCCCCATAGGGAGCTCCACCGAAGGCCCAAATGCCAGCGCTCGCATTCGCCCACCGCAGCCGTTGTGGCACACCCTCCACACGTTTCGCGGCACAATAGGGAGTCCCCCCAAAAGCCCACACGCCAGCGCTCGCATGCGCCCGCCGCATCGATTTTGGCACACCCCTCACACGTTTCGTGGCCCCATAGGGAGGCCCACCGAAAGCCCAAATGCCAGCGCTCGCGTGCACCCACCGCACCCATGTCAGCTCTCCCGTCACAAATTTCGTGGTCTCATAGGGAGCTCCACCGCAGGCACAATTGCCAGCGCTTGCGTGCGCCCACCGCACGCGGTTTGGTTTTGGCACACCGCTCACACGCTTCGCGGCCTCACATGGGGACCCAACCGAAGGCACAAGCGCCAGCGCTCGCATGCGGCCACCACACCCGTGTTGACACGTTTCTTGGCCCCATAGGGAGCTCCACCGAAGGCCCACATGCCAGCGCTCGTATGCTCCTAGCGCACCCACTTTGGCACACTCCCCACCCGCTTCGTGGCCCCATGGGGAGCTCCACCGACGGCCCAAATGCCAGCGTTCGCACGCGGCCACCGCACCAATGTTGGCACACCCTTCACACGTTTCGTGGCCCCATGGGGTGCCTGACAATAGGCCCAAATGCAAGCGCTCGCATGTGCCCACCGCGCCTGTTTTGGCACACCCCCTCGCACGTTTTGCGGCACAATCGGGAGTTCCCCCAACGGCCCAAACGCCAGCGCTCGCACGCGGCAGCCGCACCCATTTTGGCACACCCTTCGCACGTTTCGTCAGCGCTCGCATGCGGCCACCGCACCCATGTTGGTACACCTGGTACACCACCCGCGCGCTTCGTGGCCCCATAGGGAGTTCCACCGAAGGGCCACATACCAGCGTTCCACACGTTTCGCGGCACAATATGGAGGTTCCCCCCAAAGCCCACACGCCAGCTCTCGCATGCGGCCACCGCATCCATTTTGGCACACCCCCTCGCACGTTTTGCGGCCCCATAGGGAGCTCCACCGAAGGCCCAAATACCAGCGGTCGCATGCGTTCACCGTGCCCATTTTAACACACACCCCTCACACGCTGCGTGGCCCCATAGGGAGCTCCACCGAATGCGGTGCATACAACGACGGTCCCCGCAACTGCATATGGTTTGGAGGCTTGTGGTAGGCAGGGCCGGTGGCCGGTGGCTACAGAGTATTGCAACCTCCGTATATTGGGCGGACCTCGAGAGCGACTTCTTGAAGTTCACATGCCTGTGACCGGGCTCTGGCCCGCCCGCGCCGCCCCTAAGGGGCCTGCCGGCCCGCCGGCCGGCGGGCTCGCGCGTCTGCGTCTGCGTCTGCGTCTGCGTCGCACCACCGAGTGCCGCACAAACCTTACTGTTGTGGATTTGGGTGGGGGGCCGACGGCGGCCGACTGCGCAGTGGGGGCGGGGGCGAATGACAGCGTCAAACCGCGTGGGTTTCCCCAGACTCTGAGAGTGGCCGCCTTCCGCCTGCTCCAGAGGGTCTCGGCTCAAAGGCATGACGGCGCGATTTGCCCAAGGGCTTCGGCGGTAGAGCTGGAGGAATATGCCACGTGTGAGCACGTGCCTGTGTTGTCGCCGAGGTTGCAAGCGTGTGTGCCTGCGGGCTCACCGGAGACGGTGAAGGTAGAGCGGTATTTGCCAGCTCAAAACCTCCGCCCCATCATCCAAGTGCATAGCTGATTTGATTCGACGGAAGACGCAGTCGCAGAGTTGGGCGGTCAAGCTCATCGCACGCCGTCAGTGGCCAGATCTTTTATGCACGAGAAGATCAGAAGGCCTCTGCAACAGTCAGAGGGGGTGCCCGTGCGGTAGTGGCCGGAAGGCAACTAGTCCTTCAGCGCCCCCAGAAACACCAGCAGATCCCATGAGCAGTTCTGGAGGGTTGCCGTCGGTGGCCACGTATCCAGGGAGGAATAGGCGCAAATCCAGAACGACGGGGAGTATTTGTCAAGACCGAGAGGCCGCAGCGCTGACCAGCCAGGTCGGATTCGTGCTCGATCTTGCTTACCACATCGGGGACGCTTCTCCGAGACTCCAGGCATGGGCCTTCAAGGGCCTCAGCTGGGAGGATTAATGGGATCTCTTGCGGCCTGTAGTGGTCAGGAGAGCTTCGGTGTCGGCGACAGTGCGGCCCCACCTGCGAAACCATGGGCGGCCGCAGGATTGGGCAGCAGCGGCTGGGCTCCAGCCGTGGTCGCTGGATGCAACTGGTGTCGCGCTGTTTTGTCCGCGATGCCAGCGGCAGAGGGCCGTCAGTGCCAAAATCGTGTTTTGCGACGTTAATTATTGTGGGCAAAGGAAATTCCAGTTTCCGTGGCCCTTGCAGGATCCGATGGTCGAGGCCCAGAGATGCATGTCAAGCAAGCAGACGGAGGAGCAGCGGCAGCAGGCAAGCCCGCTGACGAGGCAAGTGTCGATGGTCTTCTGAACA